TAGTGCAGGCAGCACCCCCTACAGGGAGAACCCACCGTGTGCCCCAACCTCACAACTACCACGGGAGGCAGTGGCAGGGCCGTCTGCGTCACAAACTGAGGCTCAGAGACATCAGGTCACTTGAGCGGCCCCGCCAGGATGAGCTCGGCCCCGCCGGCCTCTCTGCCCACCTGCACATCTCGGTAGGAGAGCAGCAGGTTCATGATGATGTCAGGGCTCAGCAGCTCCACGCTGTCCAGCCTCCGCTGCAGGCGGGCCAGCTCCTCCCGCAGCTGCTGCCCGCTGAACCGCTCCCGGGCCTGCCGGATGTCCTGCCGAATGGTCTCCCGGAAATAGCCGCTGGTGCCAAAGCAGGTGAGGGAGGGAGGGAGAGAGGGAGGGAGAGAGAGGGAATGGCGGGGCCTGTCCGGGTCACTGCACCCTCTCCAGCCTCCTCCTGCTGCACCTTCTCTGGGTCCCCCTTACCAAGAGTCCGTGGGCATGGCCTCCAGCAGGCGGGCAAACCGGCCCACCAGTGGTGTGAGCAGGGCCTCCGTGCCCACCCCGGGCTGGACCAGCCCATCCGCCAGGCCCCTCAGGAGGCCTACATCACCACACAGCACTCGACCAGTGGCTGTCACCACATAGGGGATCAGCGTGTAGCTGCCAACACAATCCTAGTGGGAGGGAGGCAGGAATCAGTGGAGAGCAGAGGTCAGCACCAGGTTAGAGAGGGGCGGTGAGGGGGTCAGAGGTCAGCACCAGTGGGAACTGGAATAGCAGGAAAGGGACACGCTGCAGGAAGGAAGGCAATAGGGAGCAGAGAGTCACACAGATATGGAGGGGTGTTAGGGAGATTAGCTGACTGAGGAGGCCAGGGAAGGTAGTGGGGAGTCAGAGGTCATAATGGCAGTCAAAGGGCACATTGGAGTGGGGGTGGATTCTGCTCACTGAGTTCTTCTGAAAAATGTCCTCCTGCAGGGAACAGACAAATACTGGTGTTCTGGGTCGGCCCTACCCCCGCCCTGTGCCCGCCCCCTCAGCCACCCGGCCACCTACCCGCAGGGCCTGCAGGTCCGGGATGTCTTCCTGGGAGCAGAGGAGCACGTTGTTGGTCATGCTGAAGCTCTCACGCACCCCGAGGTGGTAGAACAGGGAAGGCTGAGCCAGGGAGCTGCTCACCTCCAGCACCACCACGTCTGCGAGCACACAGTGGAGGCCCTGAGCCCCGGGCCCAGCGGGGTGGGTAGGGGCTGGGGCTCCATCCTGGCTCAGCCTGCCTTCCCGCGTGATTGCAGCAGGATCCAGTGACTCCTGCCTCTGCTTCCCCCTTTTAGGGCCCTTTTGGTTCTTACACAGAGGAGAGCAGGCTGTGCACCAGCCCAGAGCCTGTTCTGGGCCATCTGAGAAGCAAGAGGGGCTAACACGTACGTCCACTTCTCTGGGTCCGCAATCCAGTCTCGAAAGGTACCAGCATTGTGTGTAGATAACACTGTGCTGTATGTGTATCGTGTGCGTGTGTGTGTGTGTGTGTGTGTGTGAGGCTAACTGTGCCTGGATCTGTGTGTGTGTGTGTGTGTGTGTGTGTGAGAAAGAGAGTGAGGCTAACTGTGCCTGGATCTGTGTGTGACCGGGTGTGCGTGTTTGTGTGTGTGTGTGTGTGTGTGTGTGTGAGGCTAACTGTGCCTGGATCTGTGTGTGTGTGTGTGTGTGTGTGTGTGTGAGAAAGAGAGTGAGGCTAACTGTGCCTGGATCTGTGTGTGTGTGTGTGTGTGTGTGTGTGTGAGAAAGAGATGAGGCTAACTGTGCCTGGATCTGTGTGTGACCGGGTGTGCGTGTTTGTGTGTGTGTGTGTGTGTGTGTGTGTGAGAGAGAGGGTAAGGCTAACTGTGCCTGGATCTGTGTGTGACCGGGTGTGCGTGTGTGTGTATGTATGTGTGTGTGTGTGTGTGTGTGTGTGTGTGTGTGGCTAACTGTGCCTGGATCTGTGTGTGACCGGGTCTGTGAGGACGTGTTTTGACACCTATGTGACTTGTAAGTCTGTCTATGACTCTGTGCAGGTCCCTCGAGGGCGGTGGGCCTTCATTTTTTAGGCTGCGATTTTAGGGGCACAGGGCAAGCGCAGGCGCGGGGCTCTTGGATAAACAAATAAGTATCCAGAGGCGGGGCGTGAGGGGCGGTGGAGGGGACAGGCCGCCTCTGGCCCCACCCACGAGCGGTCTGCCCCGCCTCCAGCCCCGCCCATTGCCTCGGGGTTTTGGGGCCCTCTTGACCTAACCTCCCTTGCCCAGAACCCAGTCAGTTGGGTCCCTCGCTTTCCTTTCTGCTTCTTAGCCCCGGTCCTCCGAAGCAGCGTGCTAGGACCCCCGAACTGCACCGCCTCGTGGAGTCCGAGGCTAGTCCAAGCCCACCTCCCAGGACCCGCCCTCACAGACTCCGCGCAGGACCGTCCCGAGGAGTCTCCACCCCAGTTCCTAAATTACCGCACCATGCGGGCTCCCAGCCCCGCCCGACCCTCGCCCCGCTGCCCCGGCGGTGCCATCCAGACAGCCTACGTCCCAACCCCGAGCCCGGGGCCGGGCCTGATCCGCTAAGTCCTAGCCCGAGCCTGGCGGGCTCCTGACTCCCCACATTTCCCTTTTCTCAGGTCCCGCCCGAGTCCTTCAGCTTTAGCTCACTGCGCAGCCCCCGACCTCGCCCCCATCGCGGCCCCGCCCCGCCCCGCCGAGCCCCGCGCCCCTTCGGCCTGAGCTCCTCCCTCTTCGACACGAACCCCGCCCCCTCCGGCATGAGCCCCGCCCCTTCTGTCTGAGCTCCGCCTCCTTCTAGCTTAGCCCCGCCCCCTTCGACCAGCGCTCACCCGCGTTGTAGAAGGAGTCCAGCGCCCCGGTGTCTCCCAGCGCCAGCGTCCCGAAGGGCAGGGTGCGCAGCTGCGGCCGGGGCCGCGGTCCCGCGAGCTGCGCGCAGGCCTCGCGCAGGCAGCGGAGGGGCGGCGGCTCGGCCTCGGCTGCCCCGTCGCGCTCCTCCGCGGGCCGCGGCTCCCGGGTCAGCACGTAGAGCACGCTGAGCGGCCGGCTCCGGGCGCAGCCCCGGCCGGAGGGCGGCGCGACGGGCGGGCCCCGGCTCAGCGCCTCGGCCAGAGGGTCCTGCCAGCAGCTGCCCGCGCACTCCTGCGCCCCGGGCGGCGGGCACGGCCCCGCCATGCGGGGGCGCTCGGGCGGCGGGCGCGTCCTGGGCACCCGGCTCAGGGCAGAAGCCGGGGGTGACGGGCCCAGGGATCCGGAGATCCTGACTCTCCTACGGGATCTGGAGATCTGAAGTCCCGCCGGAGGTCCCGTTCCTCGGACTCTGGAGTCCAGGGCGAAATCCAGGCTCCGACTTGGAAGGTCCTGAGGATCCGAAGTCGGGAACTGGGTCCGGGAATCTGGGGCATCCGGCGGCCCGCCGCTCCGAGTCACGTGGGCGGTCCCGTCGGACCCCGTCCGCCGCAGACTCCGCGGGAAGCGCCCGCCGTCGCTCTCGCCTGCCCTCGCTGGTAGGCCGGCCCGGCCCTTCCCGCGGCCGGGAAAGCTCCACCCTCGGCCTGGGGCAGCTCCGCTCCCGGCAGCCCGGACTCGCCCTCCCTCCCTCCTCTGCAGCCAGAACTTCTGAGTCCCGCCACTTCCGGAACAGCCTGTGCCACTGTCTATGCCAACCGCCCGCCGGGATGGCTCGCCGCAGGAGCTCAGACACAGTGTGTGCGCGCCGGCCAGGGCAGGGCGAGGTGTGGACTGCAGGCCCGCCCGGCAGGGGTCTGTGCAATGAATGGAGACTTCAGGGTGTGCTCCAGGCAAGCACCCACCTGCCAGGAGGCCATCAGCCCTAGTTCGGGACTTGGCACCTGAGCCCTCCCCTTAGCCCTCTGGCCATGAGGCTGCTTCCCCCAAAAACCAACCTGCTGGGTTTTACCTCCACTTCATGTGACCTCGGGGCCTGAGAAGAGGCCCCACACAGCATTTTTTCTCTACCCGCCTGGAGAAGAACCCCAGAACGCCAGCTGGTGGACCACCGCAGCTCCCCATCTCCAAATTCCCAAGAAGCTCTGCCCTTTCCGTGCGGATTGGCGAGGCAGCGACCTGGTCCAAACCTCAGTGGACTCTGAAATCAGGAACTGGGCACTTGGAGAGGTTGAGTAACTTGTCCAAGATCGCTCGGTCACGTGACCCAGCAGGATGCAATCCCGGGACTCCCTATCAGACTGCAGATATCAGACGCTTAACTATTTATTGCTCTGCCACTTTCTTTCTTTCTTTTTTTTTTTTTTTTAAATATATATATATTGATATCTTATTGATTTTTTTTTTTTCACAGAGAGAAAGAGAGAGGGATAGAGAGCCAGAAACATCGATGAGAGAGAATCATCAATCAGCTGCCTCCTGCACACCTTCCACTGGGGATGTGCCCACAACCAAAGTACATGCCCTTGACCGGAATCGAACCTGGGACCTTTCAGTCAGCAGGCTGACGCTCTATCCACTGAGCCAAACCGGTTTCGGCTGCTCTGCCACTTTCTAGAACGAGGCTCTGGTGAATTAACTGCTTGATGAATGCTAGCTCAGCAACGGCGTTTTCACTACCTGTGGCCCTCAGTTTGACCCCGAGTTTAGACCTGCCCCTTGTGGAACCCCCTGAGAAGAAGCCAAGGATGAGAACTGGGTTTACTGCCGGGGCTGGTGGGCGGAAACAGACAACCCAGAAAGGACAGGCACGGGCTAGGAGAGGGTGAGAAAGCTGTGCAGTTTCTGCCACAAAACCGCCCGTCTGTGGGACCCACAGGGCCCAGGGGCGCCGTCCGTGCGTGTTGATCCTTCCCTCGGGGTCTCCCTGGCCGGGGCTTGCACACCTCAGGAGAGAAAGCCTTCCTCCTGCATGAGCTGGCCCTCCCCTCTTCCTGGCGGAGAGAAACGCCTTCCCTGAATGCAGCTGAGCCCCACGTCCCTCCTCTGCCCTCTCGAGTGTCTCCCCAGTAACGGGAAGCCCGGAAGGGGTTAAACGGTTTTATTTTTACAATGTGGACTGGAGAGCAGAGGCAGTTGGCGGCGGGGAGAAGTGGCGGAGCCTCCGGAAGCTGCTCGGGAGAGATAAGCGGCTGGTTGCCAGGGGGCCCTAGCGAAGCAGGATCCGCACCCTGCGGTACGGGCGGCCCACGCCCAGGCCCGTGGCCCAGTCGATGCCGTACTGGTGGGCCGCGGCGGGGGACGCGGCGTAGGGGCCGTTGAGATTGGAGTGATAGCAGGCTTGGTACCACCAGGCGCCGTGGACGGTCACTGCACAGTTGCCCCCGGCTGTGTCGTGGTCAGCGTCGTAGGTGGAAAAGGGCTTCCCGTTGTGGAAGCTCAGGGAGTCCCCTGGCAGGGAGGGAAGGGGAGGCTCGTGGGAGGCGGCACCCTGCCTGGCCCCCTGGGAGGGGAGACCTCACAGGAGAGTGGGTGTCTGCAGGCCCCGCGGGGAAGCATACCCAGGAGCGGTGGTGGCCGCAGGGGCACTGGGCCTGAGCTCAGCTCCTCCCGCCGCCCTGCCCCTCTCCGAGTCCCCAGCCCCCCCACCCCCCTGCTCCTGTCTCTTCCCAGCTCCCCGCAGCAGCCTGAGCAGCGCGGTCAGGGAGAGCTGGGAGGGACTTAGATGCGCGGCAGGAAAGGGGGCTTCCCTGAGGCAGCACCTCAAAATCACTTCCCTCTTTCAAATCTCTCCTCAACAGTTGCTCTGAAGAAAGGAAAAAAAAAAGAAAAAAAAAAAGCCTTCCCTGGTTCCTCTTCCAAAGCAGATAATGCTAGCACACCACAGGGCCTTAGCGTCCCTCAGCCTCCCCGGCCTCCTGGTCCACCCCCCCCCCCGCCCACTCCCCCCTCCCCCCCCCGCCTCCTGGTCCACCCCCCCCCCCCCCGCCTCCTGGCCCACCCCCCCCCCCCCCCCCCGCCTCCTGGTCCACCCCCCCACCCGCCCACTCCCCCCTCCTCCCCCCGCCTCCTGGTCCATCCCCTCCCTGCCTCCTGGCCCACTCCCCCCCCCCCGCCTCCTGGTCCACCCCCCCCCACCTCCTGGTCTACCCCCCCTCCCTCCGCCTCCTGGCCCACCCCCCCCCCCCCCGCCTCCTGGTCCATCCCCCCACCTCCTGGCCCACTCCCCCCCCCCCCGCCTCCTGGTCCACTCCCCCCCACCCAGCCTCCTGGTCCATCCCCCCCCCCTCCTGGTCCCCCCCCCCCCCCCCTGGTCCACTGCAGCTATCGAGGTTCTGGCCTGGAAGGGACCGCCCAGGCTCACAAAATTAGTAAATGACAGCGGTGGATTCCAGCTCAGGTCTGTTTGCCCCAGAGCCCAAATGCTTTACTACGGTACCACCTGCCTCCTGATTGCCCTTCCTCAGAGGAGGACACAGGCCCACGGAGGAGAGGAATTATCCTGGGTCACCATGGAGGCAGAGGCTGTGCTGGGCAAGTACCCAGCCTCCCTCCCCTGTGCCCCTCCCCCAGGGCCCCGCCTGAGGGCCGCTCACCTGCCGTGCCCCCTGAGAACTTGCCCAGCACCAGCTGGTAGTGATCCGCCTCTCCGAGGAGGCGGAAGGACTCGTAGTGGGCGAAGGTGTGGTTGCCGTCAAAGTCCTCCAGCTCCACACGCAGCTGCCAGGTCCCTAGGGGTGGGCACGGGGGAGGAATTCTCAGACCCCGATGCCAGAGGAATGCCCCTCAGGCTCGCTGGCCCTGCTGGGAACGTACCCTGGAGAGTCAGCTGGTGCAGGTTCTCATTGCCCAGCCAGAATTCGGACTCCTGGCTCCCAAAGCCCGCTTTGTAGGAGGCCCAAGAGCGGAAGAAGTCCACAGAGCCGTCCTGTCGCCGCTGGAACACCTGGAGGCAGAGCAGGCCAGCACAGCCATCACTCCGGGCTGGAATGGAGGAGGAGGAGGAGCAGGCAAACACGCCCGGACTCTCTGGACTGGGGGCTTGTGGATACAGTGTGAGTCCAAGTGAGCCTTGCCTGTGCGTAGATTGATGAACTCTACATTGGTGCTAGTAATATGGTTAGTGACTCTCAGCCTCACCCAAAGCCGGGCAAGCCCTGGGAGACTGAACTGGATAGAATCAACACTCCTGGTTTCCTGAGATGGCCAGTCCTGCTGGGAGCCAGATTTAAAATAACGTGCTATGATTTACTATGATAAGAGCCAAGATATTCTACCAGAGAGGTCACCCCCAGAGGCCCAAGCTGGACTCCTGACCTCACCCAGAGACTCCCCTTCCACCAAGCAGTCCCCAGGCTCTGAAGAGTTTTCCTCCTCCATCTTTCAGTCCAAGTGCCTCTACTTCTGTTGTTGCCACCACCCACTGTCTTCTCCTGCCCGGGCCTCTGCGTCCTCTTAACCTGTGTCCCGGTGTCCACTCTTGTCCCCCACTCCGGTGCACCTTCCACACTACCATCTTCCTAAAGCATAAGCCTGGCCTGGCGACTCCCTGCTGAAATGTCTCCCGTGGCTCCAGTTACCCCCATGGTCCTGTCAGTCAGTCAGTCAGGGCCCTCCGCGAACTGGCCTTGGACCCGCACCAGAAGACCTCAGCCAACCACTCAGACCTGCTCTCAGCTCACCCACCTGGTCCCCAAACCCTCCTGCACTGAACTGTCTTTCTACCTGGCATGCCCTTCTGCACCTCCTCTGTTCTGAGAATTGCTTTCAAGGCCCTGCCAAATGTCACCTTGTCTGTGGAGCCTTCTCTGACTGCAGATCCCCTGGGAGCAGTCACCTTTTGTCAATGAATTCTTCTAAGTCTAAGAAATGCCTTGGCTCCAGTGGGCTCTGACTCCCCCTAGGGGACAAGGGGCAGAATTGCCCGCTGGACCTGGCGTGGGTGTCTCTTCTCTGACACTCACCAGCCAACCACCTCCCAGGGTGTCCATGTCACAGAAAACGGGAAGGGCTCTGCCTTCAGGTAGGCACAGGTGGTACCAGCCGCTCAAGGTGGCACCCCGGCTCAGCAGCTCCTGGCAGCTCCTGGGACCTGGGGGAGGGGAGAGGGACTGAGGGCCCGCCCTCCCCCCCCCTCAGTTATGCCCCACCTCTACCCCATGAGCAACGGAAGAGGCTCTGTGGGACCTCAGGAGCCCGCTGACAGGGGCTCTGGGGCTGGCCCATGCCAGGCGGTCGACCCACATCCCAGCACCACCTGGTTCCAAGTCCCGGGTCCCGGAAGGCTGCCTCACCCTCCTGGCACCGGAGCAGGTTCGCCGGATCTCCTGCCACGGAAAGACCGGGTGTTGGCTCTAAGGTCTGAGTGCCCCCAAGGGGAGGGGAGAGTGCCCAGGCCCTTCTAATCATGCCTGCTCCTCTCGGCCGTCCACCCCCTGCGGGCGGGCGGTCACAGCCAATGGCCGAGCAGCAGCCCCCGTGCACTCTCCCTCTAGCTGAGCGACAGAGCAGAGGAACAAGAGGCCCGGGTCCCACACACTCACCCGGCTCACCCTTGGGGCCCATCTTGCCCGGTGGTCCCGGCTCCCCTGAAATCCAGAGACAGATGCTGTGAGTCTCGCCCAAACCCGGGGCCGAAACCACAGGGATCTGCAGCCAGAAGTCCAGTCCCAGCCGCGCGCTTCACTGGCTGTAACGGTGGACAGGGGCCTTCTGCTCCTGGGGTCTCACTTTGCCCTCAGTAAATGGGGGAGACTCTCCACTCACCTCACAGAGCTGACCTTTGGACACCGGCTGCCCCGCCTGGAGGCCGGTGTCCCATGGGTTCCTGGCCCTTTGGTCCTGGCCTCTTCGCACAGTGATTGCTGCGCTGCCACCCGCCCCCCAGGCCCCCCAGGCCCCTCAGACCCCCCAGGCTCCCCAGGACCCCCAGGACCCCCAGGCCCCCCAGGTCCCCCAGCCCCCCAGGCCCCCGCCGCTCCCTGGCAGCACTCACCTCGAGGGCCCGGAGCCCCTTTCTCCCCAGGACTCCCTGGGGCTCCAGGGCAGCTGGGCAGGAGGACAATTTTGCTGGCTTCCAGTTCCCTGGGTCCTGCAGGGAGATGCAGGGCCGGGTGGGCACGGAGTGGTCGTGGGGGGCGTGGGCATGTCTCTCTCCCAGACCTCTCTGTGGGCTTTTTCCGTCTCCCAGATTCCAGCTGTGGGGACACTCGCCTCCCAGAGCTTTCAGAGCTCTGCACTCTCCGCACTCTCTGCGGAGCCCAGGCTGTCGAACACCCACCTGCTCCCCGCGGCCCTGCAGTCCGGGACCTACCTTGACAGCCGGTGGGGTCCTCTGTCTTCAGGCAGGCAGGCTCCCTGAGCAAGAGGAGCAACAGGGACAGTGGAGTCCGAAGGAGGCCCATCTCGCTCTTCCACTGGCGTGCCCTGGAGAGAGGATGCCAGTTTATAAGGGGCCAGGCTGGTGGAGGAACGTGGAGAAGGACTTCCGTCCATTGTCCTTCCCCAGACACACCCGCCCAGGTTGGAGCCCACAGGTGGTGGGGCACTTCCTCCCTCGGCCCCAAAGAGAATGAGCCCCGTCCCTGCCCTGTTCACCTGGGATGGAGTCCAACTTCCGGCCCGATCGCCAGGCCTCCCGGGCCTTCTTGCCAGACCTTTGCGTTCACAGGGGACTCTCCGCCTTTGGGCCTCAGCTCGTTCTGAGCCTTCCCTCTGGAACGCCCTTCTCTTCGCCTCACTGTGAAGCCACATGTGCATGAAGTTCCAGCCCCAAGGTCACCTTCACTAGGAATCCCTCCCCGACCCTGTCAGCTGTGCCTGAGACCACTGCTTCCACTTACTGGAGCTGCTGCATCCACATACACCCCCGTCCCCCCGCCCCAGGGCCCCGTTTGTATGTCGCCTCCTATCCTCACACAGCCCTGCTCATGGTCATTCTTATGACCCTGGGTTTTAGGCCTGGTACAAAGCAGGTGTTCAACAAATACTGGTTAAATGAAGGAATAAGCAAGGAGACACCGAGGCCCAGAGACAGGACATGACTGGCGCTCACTCTGGCACTCAGGTGCGATTTTGCACAAGCCCCATGCCCTCCCCCAGAGAGAGGGACCCTTCGCAAAGTGACGTCATGCCCACCCTAAGTCCCTTGGGGAGCCCCTGGCGGGGCCTAGGAAACAGGTGCTAATCGAGGCCAATTGCATGGGCGGCCCAGGCAGGAAGGAGGCAACAGCCATGATCCAGAGGTGAGGAGTGAGGTCTGACCTGGAGAGGGACCACAGTGGTAGGGAATGTGAGGGGAATTTCATTTGTTCATTCATTCACTCATTCATTCATTCATCAAACCCTCCTGAGGGCTTCCTCTATGCTAGTCCCAGAGCTTGTGGAGGTGGGGAAGGCTGAAGGACACTGGGGCTTCAGGAAAGGGGAGGCCAGATTCCCAGGCAGGATGGACCTGTGACATGGGTGCTCGGAGGACCCTATGTTCCACTTTTGGAAAGCTGTCCTCCCCAGACTCTCCCGCTGGTGTGCCAAGATCTGCGGGCAAGCCTGTTTATCATGATGCTGTTTATACCAGTGCTATCCAATGTGGAAATGACCCGACTGGACATAGGCAGGATGCAGGCCAATATGTCATCACCATGTGGACAAGTCACGGGGCAAATCTGAGGGGTGATGGAAGGGTCAACGTTGCAGAACAATATGTACAGCACAGCCCCTCTGTGTATTTACAGAAGCTAACTGCTGAGAATCACAGGAAAAGGCTGAAGTTTCACAAGAACCATGGTCACATCTGGGGAGTGAGACCAGTGGGACAGCGACCTTCAGTCTTCCCTTCTTTTTTAATCCTCACCCAGGAATGTTTTTCCATTGATTTTTTAGAAAGTGTGGGAGAGAGAGGGAAAGACAGAGAGAAACATTGATGTGAGAGAAACATAGCGATTGGTTGCATGAGCCCCGACCAGGGCCCAGATGAGTGAGGAGCCTGCAACCAGGTACACGCCCTTGGCCAGAATCGAACCCGGGACCCTTCATTCTGCAAGCCAATGCTCTATTCTCTAAACCAAACCGGCTAAGGCTCACTCTTTCTTTTTTAAAAAAAACATATTTTGTTGATCTTTTACAGAGAGGAAAGGAGAGAGATAGTTAGAAACATCAATGAGCGAGAAACATCAGTCAGCTGCCTCCTGGACACCCCTACTGGGGATGTGCCTGCAGCCAAGGCACATGCCCCCCACCAGAATCAAACCTGGGACCCTTGAGTCCGCAGGCCAACACTCTATCCACTGAGCCAAACTGGTCAGGGCAGGCTCACTCTTTTTGTTGTTGTTAAGCCTCACCTGATGATATTTTTTTCCATTGATTTTTAGAAAGAGTAGAAGGAAGGGAGGAGGAAAAGGGGAGAGAAACATCAATCTGAGAGAGACACATCATTGGTTGCCTCCCACACATGCCTCTGTTGGGAGAAGATTCAGGGCTCAAATCTGCATCACAGGTACTTGCCCTTGACAGGGAATCGAACCTGAGACCCTTTGGTGCACAGCCTATGCTCTTACCACTGAGCTAACTAGCCAGGGCTTCCATTGATTTCAGAGAGAGTGGGGAAAGAGAGGGGGTAAGAAGTGGGGGAGACATCAGTGTGAGGGAGACCAGCCAATGATCCAGCCTGTAACCCCGGTACCTGCCCTTGACTGGGAATCAAACCCACGACCCGTTGTTGCATGGGCCGATACGCTAACCACTAAGCAACACTGGCCAGGGCAATTCTCACTCTTCATATAAACTTCTGTAGAGGCCTTTTGTTCCTTGCTGGCATTTACTACGTTAGGAAAAGAAAACGCTCAGTGAGTAAATGTTCTTAACTGCTCGGAGAGCCAGCGGGAGGCGGGCCATTTCCTCCCTTGGTCCCAGAGAGAATGGGCATTATCCCTGCCAGCTCTTTTTTTTTTTTTTTAAATATATTTTATTGATCTTTTACAGAGAGGAAGGGAGAGGGATAGAGATTTAGAATCATTGAAGAGAGAGAAACATCGATCAGCTGCCTCCTGCACACTCCCTACTGGGGATGTGCCCGCAACCAAGGTACATGCCCTTGACCAGAATCGAACCTGGGACCCTTGAGTCAGCAGGCTCTATGCACCAAGCCAAACTGGTCAGGGCCCTGCCAGCTCCTAAGTGCTGGTTGGAGAAGGGAGAAACCGGGGAGGGGATCCAGGCAGGGAGAAACTGCGTGTGCAAAGGCTTGGAGCAGAAAGACAGGCATGTAACGGGAGGCGGGTCCAAGTGGCTGGAGGTTCACAGGGGGCTGGGAGGGTGGTGAGCCCTGGGGGAAGTGTGTGTGGTCTGCTTTGTGTGGATGATGGAGTGATGTGCAGGGGGTGAGCCCTGTGAGGCCAGGAGCAGCCAGAACTCCCCGTGGAGGCCCAGCGGCAGCGGAGACCTGGAGAAGAGGTACAGAGGCTTGGCTGCAGGCTGCGCAGCGGGCAGGGTGGGTGGGTGCGCTGGCATGAAGCTGATGGGGCATGTGCGCCTGCTCTGAACCTTCCCCAGTCCCACTGAGATGGATACTGCTGTTCCCCCTCTTGACAGATGAGGAAACTGAGGCCAGAGCTATTCAATAACCTGCTCCCGTCCGCACAGAGCAGCTAGGTTCCACAGGCTGAGCTCTCAGCTTCCTGGGATCATGGATCAGACTCCTGGCCACATGCCTGGCTTCCGGCATGCGCCCTCCAGAGGGAGATGCTATTAGTCAGGAAGACTTCTGGCCCCAGGGGAGGGAGGGAGGGAGGGCTTGGAGGGGCCTCCCCGGAGGGCCTGAGTGAGGAAGTGGCTGCTGAGAGTTATGGGGAGCCTCCATCTCGGAGGAGAGAGCCGGGAAGATGCTTGGGAGTTCTGAAGTACGGCTCACCTGGAGCTAGAAAAACCTGGATTCCAGCCCCGCCCTGCCCCGTCCCACGTGTGATCTGGAGCAAGCATGCTTATCTTCCTGAGTCCCTGTGCTCTTATCTGTAAGGGGGCGGGGGAGGGGCGGGTTACACACATACAACAGATGGACATGTTTTCACAGGTGACAGCAGCCGCCCAAGGCTGAATTCTCACCGCGGCATCCCCCCATCCAATGCACGCACAGCCCAGACCCGGACACACAGCACAGCTGGGAAGAGTTCCTTTATTCGGGGCAGTGCCAGGCCAGGCCTGTGGGAAGAGGCGGGCACAGCCCCAGTGCCAAGCAGGTACCGGAGGGGGCCCACGGGGATGACGGATGAGACAGGAGGCGGCTGACGATGCTCTCAGCTGCAGGTACCAGGCCCAGGTGCTGACACCGAGACCGCTCGGTGCCTTCAGGGGCCAGACATTGGCGGCCAAAGTTTTTCCCATTCCCAGGGCCCCCGAGGGGGCGGAGAGAGCCACCGCTTCGTCCTCCTTCCCCTCAGGGTGGGATCCAGGCCTGAAGGGGGTCAGATTCTGCAGAGGCCAGACATGGAGGGAGCTCGGAGGGGGCTCTGCCTCCGCCGGGCCGAGGCCCCACCCCAGAGAGCAGGCAGCAGCCGGGAGAGCAAACATCTGCTGGAGGCTGCAGCGACCCGCCCCACAGCACACACGGCACACGGGGGCCCTGAGCAGCTCCCCTGCGCAGAGGAAAACCAAACAGCACACACAGCCCGGGTCCTGCCAAGGCCAGAGTCGCGCCCGGGCTGTCACCTACTGGTTCTCCTCCCTGCCGGCAGCGTGAGGGAACAGAGACAAGCGGGCTCAGCAGGGCGCTCAGAACCAGGCCCGGGCTGAGCCAGTTCCTGGCAGAGAGAACCCCACAACTGGAGGGGGGAGGGGTAACTCACACGGGGGACACTGGGAGGGAGTCATTGCCTTTAGGGAAGACAGCACGCTGTCACTCAGAGGGACCCCAGGGGCAGGAGCGGGCGGGGGTGAGCCGGCCTCGCTGGCTGGCTGGCTGGCTGGCTGGCTGGCGGGTCAGGCACTCACAGCGTCTGGTAGGTGCTGTCCTTGGCCTTGAAGAAGCGCACGACGAAGAAGGCCACGGCCTGCAGGCTCAGCACCAGCACCATGCCTCCGATGAAGCTGGCCCCGTCAAAGCCGGGGTTGTGGGCCTCGGGGACAGGAGGACCCCCTGCAGGGTGGGAGTCATAGCGGGCCACTGAGGACCGGGACCCCAGGCCTACCCAGTCACCCACACCTGGGGGCCCCAGTCCTCACTCGGGGGCCCCAGTCCTCACTCTGGGGGCCGGAGCAGCGGGCCTTAGCAGGGTCCTGTGGGCAGTTTGGGGGTAGGGGGCAGGGGCACTGCAGCCCTGGCTCTGCTCCGGAATTGCTCTGTGTCTGGATGCGCTTCACACCCTCTCTGCCTCCCGGCCACACAGATCAGATGGCGACCGAGCTCCCTTCCAGACTCCCCGCCATCCTGGCCCCAGAGGCTGAGGATGGACCCAGGACTCAGACATCCAGGTCCCTTTTGACCTTGGATCTCGAGGCTCAAAGTCCAGGTACAGATGACATGGTCTCCTCCCAGGACTTCTGGGACCCTGGAGCTACCCCGGTCAGAACCCTACCTTAGAAAGGGAGGGAGCGAGGCCCACACACCGTCTACCACGCGGAGTGGACAGATGGAGGCTAGAGGATGCATGTCGGAGGGAGAAGCCAGGTCCTGAGGGCCAGCCCTGTCTAGAGTCTCCTCACAGTTAGGACGTGGTCCAGACGTACACGGTGTCCCCTAACCCCTCCCAGCCCCACCGCAGGGACCATGGTTGTCAGCCTGAGCCTTAGCCATCGACTCTCAATAGGGATTTGATTTCAGGCCTGGGCCCGGTGCCAGGGCAGGGCAGGGCAGGGCTGGTGGTGGGAGATCAGCCTGGGGGAGTGGACAGGGCCCTCTGGGAGCGGGCCCACTCCCCAGAGGGTGTAGCTTGTGTTAGGAGGGCTGAGAATGCGAAGGGCAAAGGTGGTCCCCGCGGCAGCTGAGGGAGCCCTCTCTGGGGCAGAGGAGAGAGGAGGGCAGAAATGAGCCAGACCAGACTGATCTGGGGCCTGAGCTGGAGGGAGATGACCATCAATAATTCAGCCTCCGAGATCACGTTTCTGGCTTTAATTAACCAAGAGCCTCTTCGGCCATCGCCGCCAAGCCTGCTGGACTCCAGGTCCCAAGGGGCAGGGGGGGCCCCAGGGTGGGGCTCTTGCCTCTGTGCTGCTGGGGACCTGCTTTGTGACCCTCTCTGGACCAGTGGGTGGTCACAGTGGGCATCTCATTGGCAAACTGAGCCATACGCTCATTGGTCACCCTGACTCTCAGAAGCCGCGTTGGGGAGAAGGGATGGGAACCATCATTGCTTATCTCCTTCCTGCCATCAGACAGGGAAGTGGGGGCTACACACCCTGTCATAAGCCCCCACAGCAGCAGTGGAAGGTGGTGCCCAGACAATATTTCAGACATGGAAACAGGCTGGAGGGAGAAGTCACAGGTCTGAGGTCACAAAGCCTGTCAGTGCCTGAGCCCAGCCCTGCCTCTCCCTGCACCTCTGGTCCTGCCCCTGCCCAGTTCCCCTAGGCGGTACCTACCTGTTGTGATTGTCTTCGGCTCATGGGTAGGGTGGTGGTGGGCAGCTAAAGAGACGGGGAATCCATAAAAACCCAGCCCTCCCAACCCCCACCTCCCATCAAGACCCCAGGCCTGGCCAACAGCAGGGCTTCTGAACCAGATCAGGCCCTCGGTCCTCTGTCCCAGGCCCAGATCCACCCAGCACCCTCTCAGGCCTGAGTTCATGCAGCTCCTTCCACCAATGTGCCCTCTCTCCATCTCCTGCTACCTCCCCCAGAAAGCCCTCCCTGTTTGCTTCCGGAGTCCTCACTGTGCTTTAACTGAGAAGAGCTAACTGCCCCGCCGCCAGCTCCGCACACCTGTCCTGTATCCTCCGTCTGAGCCCGTTTGCAGACGAGGAAACTGGCCGAGAGGGAAGGAGCTCTCTGAGCTAAAGGCAGGACTGAAACCAGACTCAGGTGCCCACAGGCACGGTCCGCTCCCCGAGAGAGGAACTTCTCCTGGAGGGCAGGCTCTGTCTGGGGACATCGCTGCCTCCCCCCGCCCCCCAGTTGTGCTTAGGCCAGGGGGAGCCCCTCTACCTGGACACGACTCGGAGTGGTTGTAGACGGAGCAGCCTTCCTGGGCCACCTCGGCTTGGTCCACACAGTGTCCTGTGGGAGGAAGTGAGGGGGAGGCGTGGGGAGAGGGGCCGAGGCCCTGGGGCTCAGAACTGGGGTGCTCACCTCGGGGAGGGCCGGATGCCATACCTGGCTCCTCGGGCTGACATTGCTCCCACACGCAGCCCGAGAGGTTGTGCGCCCTGTCCTCCTCCACGCAGTGCTCACAGAGCTTCAGCTGCTTGCAGGTCCCCCGCACCGCCGGCCAGATGTTCATTCGGAGCAGGGCTCCCCGCCCAAAGCCTCGAGCTCCTTTGCCTGGGAGCGGGGTGGAAGCCACTCCTTGGATCCCAGCTGCAGCCCCCCTTCCTTACCACCGTGCCGCTTCCCATCTGCACACACACACACTCACCTGGCTCCCTGAATCCCCACGGCACACCTGGAGCTTCCACAAACACACAGCACACACCTAGCACCTCCTGACATCCACCCAGCGTCCCCTTCCTTTGCCTGTACCTGTGGCTCCAGATACACTGGAAGTTGCCTCCCCCAGACGCACCTGAAGCTCCCTACTATGTACTTACACCGGGCACCACACACAGCTAGAGGGCCTTTACCCACCTGGGGCCCTGCACTCCTCTCCACTCCTCCCAGCCCTGATGCCCCTGGATGGGCGGCTGGACGAAGGGCGCACCACCTGCCCGCTCCTAACCAGCCCCTGGCCCGCCTTACCAGCCACTGCGAGCTGGGCACACAGGAGGAGGCAGCAGCAGCCGCCGCAGAGCGCAGCCCGTAAAGCTCGGGGTCCCGGCACGGCCATGGGCGCGGGGCGGGGCTGGGGTCGGCGGAGAGCTGGTGCGGCGCGTCCCCTCTGGGCTGGCTCCGCCGGGGTGTGCGGACCAGACCGGGCGGCGGGGGCGGGGCCGTTGGGCGGGGCCAGCGGCGCAGCCAGGAGGCGGGGCGGGGCCTGGGCGGGGCCATATAGGGTGTGGGCAGTGGGGCGCGGTCAGGGGCGGGGCTCAGACAAAAGAGGGCGGGTCCAGGACCCCCCGCCACCGGGTCCTGGTTGCGGCCAGGGCAGCTTCCCGGAAACTGCGGGGTAGGAGGTGTGCCCACTTCACAGGTGAGGAGGCGGAGGCCCAGAAAGGGTGACTGTGTAGTTAGGGTTAGTGGTAAAATCTGTGTTTGAGACAAGGCCACTTTCTTTTTTTTAATATATATTTTATTGATATTTTACAGAGAGGAAGAGAGAAGGATAGAGAGTTAGAAACATCGATGAGGGAGAATCATCAATCAGCTGCCTCTTGCACACCCCCCACTGGGGATGAGCCCGCAACCAAGGTACATGCCCTTGCCCGGAATCGAACCCGGGACCTTTCAGTCCGCAGGGGGACGCTCTATCCACTGAGCCAAACCGGTTTTGGCAACAAGGCCGCTTTCCTGCCGCCCAGGCTGGGTGCCGGCGGGACCCTGTGAAGTGCACCCTCCAACCAGGCCCCCCTGCGGACCCGCTTCCGCTGGCCCAGGCTCTGGCTGCCACCTAGCTTCGACTTTTTTTTTTTTTATAAATATATATATATATCATATTGATTTTTTACAGAGAGGAAGAGAGAGGGATAGAGAGTTAAAAACATGGATCAGAGAGAATCATCGATCAGCTGCCTCTTGCACACCCCCCACTGAGAATGTGCCGGCAACCAAGATACGAATCCAACCTGGGACCTTTCAGTTTGCAGGCCTATGCTCTGTCCACTGAGCCAAACCGGTTTTGGCCTGGCTTCGACCTTTGCAGCCTCCTTTCTTTGCCCCTCAGCGCACCATGTCTGCCTCCAGCCCACTGCATCCTCTGACCAAGTCACGGGCCTCATGGTTCTGGGCAAGTGAGCCTCTTCACACTTTCCCTTCTGCCTTGACTCCTGCCCTGGCACCGACCTCTCCTGGTCCCTCTCCCACTTCTGCCACTTCTCAGGTTCCTTAGAGAATGCCTCCTCTGCCTCTTTTAAAAAACTTATTATTAGCTGAAGCCAGTTTGGCTCAGTGGTAGAGCGTCGGTCTGCGGACTGAAAGGTCCCAGGTTTGATTCCGGGCAAGGGCATGTACATTGGTTGCGGGCACATCCCCAGTAGGGGGTCAATGTTTCTCTCTCATCGACGTTTCTAGCTCTCTATCTCTCTCCCTTCCTCTCTGTAAAAAATCAATAAGATATATATTTAAAAAAAACTTATTATTAATTTTCAGAAGGAAACATCAATTTGCTGCCTCCTGCACGTTTCCTACTGGAGATCAAGCCTGAAACCCGGGCATGTGCTCTTGACAGGAGTCTGACTGACAACCTTTCAGTGCACAGGACAATGCCAGCCAACTGAGCCACCCCAGCTAGGGCCTCCTCTTCCTGTCCCCCCTCCTTTTCTTCCCCCCTCTGCTTCTTTTCCTCCTTCATCGCTAGTGGCCCAGTTCAGTCTGGAACCCCATTCTGCCTCTCCTAGGGTCAGCTCAGCCATTCCTCTGCCATCAATTCCCATTTGAAAGCAAACAAGTATCTCTCCATCTTCAGCCTCCTGCGCCCTCCCCAGCTGAATGTACATCCTACTAAGAGCTTTTCCTTGTAGCTTCTCATCTAATTCCCACTACCCTCTTGGTATGGGCTGTGTTATCACCCAATTGCAGGTTTCAGAAGTGACATCACCTGCCCAGGGGCACATGGTTACAGTGTGTGTGTGTGTGTGTGTGTGTGTGTGTGTGTGTGTCAGGATGTAGCCCAGGATCCAATGGCCAGAGGCTGCTCTCCCCTCTGGGTCCATCTGTTTCCTGGGCACCTGAGTACCTCAGGCCCCTGAAACCATCTGGTCCCTCTTCCCCACCCAGGAGGGTCCCTTTGTCCCCTGTCACCCGATTGGGAGCCATGGTCTCATCTTCACCCCCTGCCTCCTCATATCTCCCTGATCCTAGCCCCGCATCTTCTCTTTGCTGGCCTCCCTGTCTCAGCCTCTGGGCCCTTCCCCAAGTTGGCCCTCACCGTGCAGGGCTCTACTGAAACCATGAATGCGGCCATGTCTCTCCCAGTGAATCATGGCTTGGCCTCCACAGCCCTTTAGTTCCTGGCTCTGTAAGTCTCCCCAGCATGTCTGGGGCTGACCCCAACACCTTCCTGTCCCCCAAGAAAATAGAACAGCCCCTCCCCCAACACACCTTGCACCTTACACCTCCTCCCCTTTATCCTCTAGCTGTTCTGTCCCGGAGAGCCCTCTTTCTCTCCCGACTCCATCTGCTTGGCGAGCTCATCTTTCATGACATCGCTAACAGGCCACCTCCTGCAGGAAGCCCTCCGCCTGCCTCAGAGCCGGGCGGAGCTGTTGCAGCACTGGTCTCGCTGGTAGATCCGAATCATCTGCTTCCTGCACCCTACACCCCTCCTCACCATCTCCTGCCTGGGTGACTGCAGGACTCCTAGCGGGGCTCCTCCTTCTGCTCCCCACTCAGGTCTGTTCCCCATCTAGCAGTCGGAGCAATCCTTTGAAATGGAAGTCAAATCACATCACTCTCTGCATCAGCCCACCAATGGCTTCCATGATTTACATGATCTTCTTCCCCTCCCTACCCTCAACCCCTTATCCCACCCACCTCCCTGCGCTCAATTCCTACCCTCAGCTCCTTCGCCTCCTCTCCCTCCCTCAACACGTTTCCTCCTCAGAGACTTTGCACTTGCTGTGCTCACTCCTCGAAACTCTTCTGCTCTCTCTTCAAAGGACTCCCTCCGTGGTCTCCCTTCCTCGTTATGTCACATGATGACACCTTCTTTCCCTTCAGAACCTAAAAAACTCATTTGTTTCCTAGGCTGTAAGTCCCATGAAGGCAGGAAAAATGTCTGTCTTCTGCCCTAGCCAGTTCGGCTCAGTGGACAGCGCCCTGGCCTGTGGACCAAGGGGGTCTCGGGCTCGGTTCTGATCAAAGGCTCTTACCTTGGATGCAGGCTCCTCCCCAGCCCTGGCCCTGGTTGGGCTTTTGCAGGAGGCATGTGCAGGAAGCAATGTGTTTCTCTCACACTGGTGTTTCTCTCTGACTTTCCCTCTCTCTTCCACTCTCCCTCTCACCTTAAAAATCAATGGGGAAAAAAAAAATCCTTGGGTGAGGATTAAAAAAAAAGTGTCTATGTTCTTCCGTAGTTAATTCCCAGCACACATAGGGCTAAGTAGTTGTTTATGAAATAACCACACTGTACCATATTGTGTCTGTCTGTGTGCATGTTTGTCTGTCCCACTGCTCTGGGAGACCCTCAAGGGGTCCCTACTCAATACCATATTGAGCACCTGATTGCGATTGTCCATCTCCCCCCATTAGGCTGGAAGCTCCAAGAAGAAGGCAGGAATTTGGGGGATTTTTGTTTATTGCTGTGTCCTCTGGGCCTAGAACAATGCCTGGCAAATGACAGACGCTCAATAAATACAGAACGTGGAAAATGCAGGATGTGACCAAATCATCTCTCCACCGCACACCCACTCCAGCCTGAGCCCAGGGAGTGAATAGGTCTGTGCTAAGAATGCTTGCACTGGTGAAGCCCAGATCCTCTGTTTGGCCAAGGCGTTTATGTGGACCTTACCCGGGTCTGTCTCACTCACACAAACCTCCTTTGAGAGCCTCCACCCACTGGGAAGTCTTACCTGGAACTGAATGCTCACAGCCACCTGCTGGTCACCTGGGGAACTTCAGGTGTTGTCATTCCTGGCCAAATGTCACTTCTGGGGAGATGGTGGCCGTAAGCTAGCATGGGAAGGCCCACCGGACTTGGTTACAGACAGCCCTGGCTTCAGATCCAGCTCTGTCATTTGCTGTGTAATTAGGGGCAAGACTTTCTGCTCCTACAGGCTTCATCTATGAAGTTGGGATGCAGAGTTGTGGTAAGCACTGGTAGGTGGAAAGGATTGGAGAAGGCATTGATGGTGGGGGGAAGCGAGGAGCTGGAGCAGAGGAGGAGAGAGAAGGAAGGGCTGCCTCTTCCTCTAGAGCAGTGTTTCCCAAACTTTTGACATACGTGTACCCCTTCTATAATTTTCTTAATGCTGAGTACCCCTCGTATTCATGAGAACGTAGAATTAGGCGCAGCTAAGCACGGGGCAGTGCATATCCCCACCAAACTCCGGTGCAACGCGTACCCCCTGGGGGTGTGCATACCACACTTTGGGAAACACTGCTCTAGAGGGCAGATCTTTGGAGAAGAGAGGCCTGGTTGGCGTTGATGGCCTCCATTAGCCTGTCGGCACGGTGGCAGCGTTGGCGGTGGAAGTGTGCCTGTGAAAATCCATAGGCCCACTGGGGTCTCTGGGATCTCAGGGTTAGAAATGTCACTGCACTCTTCCCCTCCCTGCCTGCCTGAGGACCCGCCTCCACCATGAATGACCCAGAAACTCCCCAGACCAGGAAGTACTGGCTCATCAACCACTTAGCCATTGACGTCCTCCCCGCTGGGAAGGCAGTGGTAGCTAAGACAGAAAGTTGGGACAAACTAGCCAGATTCCATCTTTTTTTAATTTATTTAATTTTATTGATTTTTTTTACAGAGAGGAAGGGAGAGAGATAGTTAGAAACATCAATCAGCTGCCTCCTTCACATCCCCTACTGGAGATGTGCCTGCAACCAAGGTACATGCCCTTGACCAGAATTGAACCCGGGACCCTTCAGTCCCCAGGCCGACGCTCTATCCACTGAGCCAAACCGGCTTCGGCCCAGATTCCAGCTTACGGTTGGAGTCAGAAGCCACTTTGGTGGTGGTAAAACAACTGGCTTTGACATTATTTGTGATTCCTTGAATGTAAAGAAAAATGGACCCAAGCACAAGCTTGCAGGACATGACCTACAGAAGCAAAATACCCCAAGAAAACAGCGAGTGGAATGCAAGAACAGAGTGAAGGAGGCCGGGCTACAGG